TATTTGGAAAAGATTATGAGTGGTCCATGAAAATGTGTGAAATGAAAATTGGTTTAAAAAATGACTGATGGGAGAAGCTTATATGGTTTTAAAGGCTTGAGTTATGTCTTCTTTTGTAACTAAGTGAAAGATTTTCAAGAAAACCTTATTCCTAGTGGATTTATTTAGAAGGGAGTTTTGGCACTGAAACTGTTTCATCYGTGTATTATAGGCAAATGTACGTATGGACAACAACTCAGTAGGATGGAGGTTTGCCTCACAGTTCATGGGAATGAAATCCAATGCAATACCTSTCCTGTTAGAGTAGCTTTCTGCTAGGATCTTCTCCTGTTTTCCCCACGATTTATCCACTGAATTTTTACAATGGGACTGCAGCCATTTCAGGAAACAGATTGATTTACTCATGTCCATGGGGAAGTAACTAGACAAAACCATTTATGAAAGTATACTAGTTGTGCCCTACTTGGGTAGTACCCCTATATTTTATTTAGATATGGAAACAATGGGAAGATAAAAAACTTTGTGTAATACAAATATTGGTCCTCCAAAGTCTTTGTAGTCACTATGTGTAGAGTAGGAAAAGTTTTGTGTTTTTAAGTAGTAGAATCAATTTCAAAACTGCCTAGAAGATTACTCAAGACCAAGATTTTTTTTTTTTTTTTTTTTTTTTTTTTTTGGATATCCAGCTTGAGACACCATAAGTGGAATAGATTTTCAGAAAGCCTTGAGCACCCACTCTTTTAAAACTGGTTGCATTAAGGTATCTGAAGATGAGCACCGAGAATTGCTGCATCCAAAATAAGTTTGTATCAGAAATTCCCTCAATTTGGCCTTTAGGGAGGACTTAGTGCTTCAGGCAGCTGTGGAAATCCTAGGCACTGTGCACAGTGCATGTTTATCTCTGACACTGGCAGATATAGGCAAACATATTCCACTTAGACCATTGTGAAATTAATGAAATGAAGAATTTCAATAGTTTTTCAGTGAAAATGTTTTAACTAAATAAAATTCTTCTAGATACAAATGAAATGTAAGTGAGGAAAGAAAGTGCTTTTTCTCCTCTGCACATTAATAGCTGGTTTCAAGTTCTTATTTAATAATCTTGTTTTAAGATTTTATCAYTTTAATACTTTTTCCCAATTTTTATTCTTGTGATGCATAAATATGAAAGAGATGCTCTTTAATTAAGACAATAACATTTCAAAGGCTAATGTAAAATCAAGCTGCTAAAGTYTGCAGTTTTCCTGTCCAGCAGTTCATTTATACAACTGCCCTGAGTAGATGCTATACGCTGCTTAGCAAACGGCCCTTAGGAGCTTAAAAATAACTTAGTAAAGCTACTCAAAGGTAATACTACACTTTTTAGGCATCTTTAATTTGAGTTAAGAAGAAAATAGAGCTTACTCATTAGTTAATTATTCATATCCTCTTCAATGTTTTATAGATAATAAAAGCACAATTGAAATGTTCAGGAGAATTAATTGTGCTTGTTGATATGCACGGGATCATGAGCTTATATTTCAGAAAGGCAAGTTTTTAAATGGTAAAACGAGTCCTGTTTTGGTGGACTGCTTTAAATGCTACTTTTATTAAACTGTTACTGTTCTATTTGAAAACCTTTCCCTTCCATTTTGTATTGAAAAACTTCACTGAAATGCTTGTTAGCAAAAGATTATCGTATTTCAAAACTGCAGATATAATTATTTTGCAGTGCCTCTCAAAATGGTACAAATGCATAAAATTTGTGCTTGTAAAAGTTTCTGCTTTGAGTAGCCTTACCTTCCATAACYGAGTCCTAGCAATCACCATGCTCTATTGCATGCCCCATTCATGGAAAGTATATTTTGTTGGGATGATGTAGCTTAAAGAATTTGGATCTAAGGCTTCCTTATCTAGAGCTTCCATTAAATTATATTAATTTAAAATATCTATGGAATGATACTTTTACAAAAATATTAAGACAAAAAAAATGGGTTGGGTTTATGAAAACGACTCTTTACAGTAAGTAAAAAAGTTTTATCACAGTTTTGGTAACTTGCATGAGTTCATATCGAAAAGAAATCTTTCACATGTTCTTAATGAATTTAAAACTGTTGTGCTCTAGGTATTTTCAGTTGTGTGCTCTGAAACAGTAGACACCATATAGCTTGTGCTTTTTATCAGGGAAGCCTACAAAGCGAACTGCTGCTTCATTAGGACTACAGCGTTTTCTTGGCCTAGAGATTGGGTAGCGAACGCTGCCATCAGCCAGCCAGCCAGCATCACAGCGGTCATATCCTAGCAGTTTCCAGGCAGCAAATATCTGGCCAACTTTGGCGATCTGGGCCCCGTCCTTCAAGCAAGCCTGAACAGCTTCATCGTAGGTCAACTTGGTTGGGTGTATTAGGTAGTAAAACCGACCTAACAAGAGAAAGGAGAGAGGGGGGAAAAAAAAAAAAAAAAAGAGCCATTAGTGACATGAATAACATGAATAAGATGCTATGATGTGATAAAGAGGTCTTTTGAGGAGAAATGGGGAAGGTCGTTGTAGAATCACATCAAACAATTTGACCTGTTAGGAAAAACGCAATTTTCTCTGCCCTCACTTCATTTAGTTGTAATTGAATTGTTGCAATGCATTTTTCCTTTGCTTGCAGAGGCAGAAAAATTGGAAGAAAAACGTTAAGGAGAGAGAGATAATGGAAGATATTCCAGGATTTAGAGGATAGCTTCAGTTCTTCGTTAAGCTTTAAGGCCAAAGATATATTTACCAACAACGCCTCACAGAAAACATCAGAAGAGCCCTGCAGACTTCAGGCAAAACAAGTCTCAAGCAGCAGTAGCTTAGTGATAGAGAAAGGAAATTAGATAAATGTCTTAAGTAGCGTAATTCTACCTTATGCTCTCAGCATTAAATTAAAACCATTATGAGTTTTCTTCTCAGAAGCATGGCCCAGTAAGAGCTGAACTTTAATAGTATTTGGCTGAGGGTGGTTAGAGGTAACATGCAGTTTTACTCTTTGGCAAGGCGCTGACTTTATTTCTGATCAAGTACAAGCGCAATTTAAAGTTTTTCTGTAAGAAAGATGAGATATTGTGCAGCTTCTCAAAAGCAGAGTTTGAACCTTTAGTAGATCAAAAACATGCCTGTCGTAAGTCTTCATTACCGGAGTCAAAAGCATTGGCAGCAGTTCTGCAATTCTGTTTCTTTTTAGGCATCAAAGGGCATATTCTCACCGTAAAATGACGTTGAACCAATAGTGCCCCAGTCTCAAGGTAATGAAAACATTTACCAGCAAATAAAGTGTATGTAGGAAGTCTCCTATACTAATCCACAAGCAACAATAATACAAACATTAATTTCAACTCTCCAGGCAGGATTAAATTGATTGTATCCCTTTCATTCATTATATTCAAGGCTATTTATCATGGTTGTATTGACAATTAACAAATCCTAGGCAGAAATGGATTACAGAGGAACAGTAGCTGAAGGAGTAATAGTTTTCAAGTATGTCTGCAACATTTTCAATATGACTGTTTTCTAAGGGCAACTCAACTGAAAAACAAAGCAATTTATCCATTGATAAATAATGGCTTGATTAATTYCAAGGCATACCCTTTGTTTCTTGATTCAAAATGTAATCCAAAATAATATCATTTTTCTTCCTCAAAAACAACAAACACACAAACCTCATTCTTCTTTGTTTTAAATGATTTTCTTGGTGCACAAGAGAGACAATGAGAAACAATGAGAAAGATAAAGATTTACTTGAGTTCAACATCGCTGTAAAATGTATATCTTTTTGAAGCATAAAAATGGTAGGTCAGATAAGAATATAACAATTACTGAAATAAATTTATGGTAAGGTTTACAATTTTGCATATGACAGAAATCACTTTTCTAAGAAACAAAAAAAAAAGTATTTACATTGTGGCCATGAAAGCAAAGAACCTTTTAAATAATTTCACTATTGTTAGAAATGATCTCCATTACTTTTGAAGTAATTTACTCCTTTGCAAAATGCTTGCCTAATCCCATTTCAGCAAATTGACAGAATTTACATAGCATTGCTAAAGAGAATGTTTATTAAGAGGAAATTTGTTCCTGCTATAATATTAAAAGGTTTCCCCAAAGCAAATAGGATTTATACTTAGGGGAACAGGGATTTGGACTGATAGTATGTAAACTTCACCTAGTTTATTAGTTGTTCTTCAAACCATATGTCAATGGAATGTAATTTCCTAGGGATTTGCTGTAAGGTCAGGTTTTTGACATATGACATCAATAATAATAACTCCGACATTCTGCCCCTTCTTTTTAAGTTGGAAAATTTTAATAGAAAACCTTATGGGGGGAAAAGAAAATGTGTAACYAGAATGATTAAATAAAATACAATCAATAAAATCAGTACAGATTTGCTGAATTTGCCTGCCAACAGGTTCCTGCCAAGAAAGGTTCCTAATGTGMTGACTTACCGGTCTTGATAGTTATTATTTTATGTGGCAGGAGATGGAGGAATTAATTTTCTGTCTCATTAATATCTGGTAGTTGTGGTATTAATGCTTGTCCTAGAGRGGACAAACATGCCTCATCTGACTCCTCATTCCAAATCATGGAGCAGAGGGTCTCCTCACTCCTAATCAAACCCCAGCCATAATGGGTATTTTAGGCTTTTTTCTTTTTTTAAGGTAGCACAGTTTAAAGAGGAAAATCAAATATTTTACCTAACTGCCTACATCATTGGGACTGCAGGAGCTTGAGAGATGTACTGCCAGGGAAGACTCGCTCAACCCCAGCTCCAAAACAAGAGAATAAAGATCTGAGACTTTTGTTTTCATATTGCAGCCCTGGCCTCTTAACAGCAGGCCATCGTATTCAGAGGCAACAAAAGAGAGAGGTGGCAAGTCCTGCTCTTTCTGTGGCAGGAGTTAATGCAGGGCCTTGGAAAGAAGACTTTTGGCATGCACGTGACAGGGAGGGCCACTGGTATGCTCCATCCAGTGGTGCCATGTGGGCTGCACCCGTAAGGGAGTCACTAAGGCAGACCACACGTAGGCCAAGGAGCTTGAAATCATGGACAGATAGCAGCTAAATTGTTTTCTTGCATCAAAAATAAACTCTTCTCCATTTGTGGTTTCATATGGCAATAGAAGGCATTCTTAGGGGCCAGCAGGATATTTCTGCAACTTGCACGTTGTCTAGAGCTTGTAATCTGCTTGACAGCCTATGGTGTATCTTAATAGTATACGATTGAACAGGGCCATTGCTTCAAAATTCATGAACATATTCAAAATGTGAGAAGTGAGATAGTTTCCTTAAATGAGAAGATCCTGATAATTATTTTAAATCATCACTGTATTTTAAGGTAACTGACTTTAAATTGCCACATGAGAATATCTAGAAACAGTTTAAAACATCCTCTTGTATCTTTYCCTTCATCTGCAGTGAGTGCAGTGATACAGAAACACTGAATTTTAAAAATTCAATTTTTGAGAGTGGAGAATGAGTTTTATTTATTTTGGTATTTTTGCTTTTCTTTTTTAATACAATGGCCACATATTCCTTTTGTCTAAACAACCCACTTTTTTTTCTGGAAAGGGGAAATGAGTAGTCAGTACACATTATCCAGTAAATGCTTTAGGCATCCTTCTCCCATTTAAATGGAGATAGTGGTTAACTTATCAAATATATTACTGTAATAAATAGGTGGTTCACAGATGCAATTTTAACATAATCCCATAAAAATCATTCTTTGTATTTTAGCTTTTTCAACACAGGAGATTTTTGCTTGATAAAAAAAATTACTTACACACTGTGATTTTATGTGCAAAGCTTGTAGCAAATTCATGTTAATGAGCAGAATGTGTAGAGCAGAGAGAAGCTCTACCTTTTCTTTCAAAACTTTAAATTATATGAGAACTGGCAATTACGTTTTTATTTTTCTCACTTAACACCTTCTAGTGAAAAAAATTCCCATGACTGGGAAATGTGAACATGAAAAATCTAATTTAGATATTTATGGGATTTTCAATTTCCATAGTCTTTGTCAGTTGAAGGAATCTAAAAGCAAGATGAGAACTGTGCCAGTTGATAGTTATTTCTATACGTTGAGTAATATTGTATGTTCCTTCACAGTGTCTTAGGGGTTGGTCACTGTTAGTGCTAGTACTTGAAACCCAGCTCTAAACCTTTCACAGAAAGAGAYCAAACTGCATCTTTCCTGTGCAGCCATACCGTGTTATTTCTTAAGCTCTGAGAGGTAACTATATGGGTAACTTTAAGTTATTCTTTGTATAGTTTTATGAAATACATCACTAACTATTCTTGTAATCCTGTCAATTGCTACTACCAGTATTTACATAGTATGTAAGATGCTTTGGAGATTTTTTCACTTTGCCTGTACGTTCACAAATCACCAGAAGTATTTCCACAAAGCCACGATGAAACTGTTATACAGGTATGAAACTGTTATACAGGCTAAGCCAAAAATCAAGGCTGTGTACTTATACTAGTCTATGAAACAGATTATCMAGGGTACTTTCATAAAGCATTAATATTATTTTATATTGCGTTGCAAACAAAGTTTTGCTGAAATGGTTTTCTCATGCAGATAACAGAATTCTTTACTAAGAATGCAGTATTCAGTATGCAGAATTCTTTACTAAGGGTATCGAAACAAATTCTTAAACTTATTATTTGATTTAATCAATTGACCATAGTGAGGGGGGTCCCATAGCTCCAAAATGAAAATACTGAATTTGCATTTGAACTCAGGTGCATTGACAACTATGTTTTCATTTCTCACTTTAGCAGCTGAATGGAATTTTCTGTTTCGGACCCTTCTTTTTCACGTTAAAAAAAAAAATACATATATATATATTAGTCAAAGACTTTTTGATGTTGGCTGTTGAACTATTTGAAAATGAGTCCTTTTTGAAACTTCCCTGAGATTATGTTTTGGGGGTTCCTTTCTTTTAAAAGAATTCAGTGAGTAGAAATCTTAAGCCCTACACACTCTCATTCTTCCTAGCAGCTCACACAACCAATGCTTTCTGTGGTTTTTTTTTTTTTTTTAAGCAAGCATTACAATCATGTGATCCTTGGACTTTTGGCATTTCTCCAGCTCTCTCATATAAAGCTGAAAGCTTTTCTGTTTTCTACTGTCAACAGATTACAGCAGTCATTCCCACTGCTGGAAATGCATGGTGTCTTAACCACATCTTATTTTCCTTGGCRCTTGCTGAACTGATGGAATCAATACGGGGTGTATGGTGACTCTCAGCCACTGCAGGACCAGATCTTTGCCCAAACCCACTGTCCTTGACAACTGTAACCTTGTTGCAAAATGGGCTATTGTATGCTTTTTTTCCTTGACASTGAGAAAGTTGGTGAAACTGTTAAACTGACATAACCTATCAAGTGTTGGGGTGAAAATAGGAAGCTGGGATTTGGGGAGAGTTGCTGAGGGTACTGTGGATATTAAGGTATCCTTGGCAGGTAAATAGCGGAGAACATGGAAAGATGATATCAACTGGGTAGGAGCTGAAAGGAGGCAGCAGGTGAGAGAAGCAGAAGCCCAGATTTCGTGCTGATGCCTTGGGAGACTGATCTAGCTGGTGGGGTCTGAAAAAGATGGTGCCCAGCTCTTGATACTGCCCTGTTGCTGTGCAGTRTTCTGAATGGCAGGCAATTTTAACAAACTTACTAATATAAGTGTCTTCCTCCCTTCAAATTCCCAGACATATGTATGCCTCTTTCTCCCTCAACCTTACTGTCTCAGTGTACAAATCTTGTTTATCTTTTGCAATATTTTTTCAGAAATGACTTTTTTTCTGCCCTTAAGAGAGACTGTCAAGTCCCTCTGTCTCATAGCTTTGTCTGAACAAAAGATGGTAGTTAGTGGTCAATAGTTACAAACATTTATTCTGCAAGCACTTTAAATATTGCAGCTATTTTACTTTTTTTCTTGATTATTTATTCTTCTTTTTTCCTTTTCCCCTTATTAATAGGGTTAAATTTGTATGTAAGAGATTTGCTTGTATAGGATTTGTACTTAAATAAATTACAGAAGAAAATACGAGCCAGCTTTTCATATGCCAATGATGTGGCATGACAAAAATGAGATCAATATTTGTTTCAGATTGCATACAACCTAACTTTTGATATTGTTGGTTTGAGGGTTTGGGAGTTTTTGAAAGGGTGGAGCAGACTTAACATTAGAGCATATCTTCTGAAAGCCAGACTTATATTTTTTTTGTGTGTGTATATGCTCAAGGACAAATATGCTTCATTGTAGGTTAGTAATCTGAGCACAAACAAAAAGGGCCATGCTTCTTGGTCTGGTTGGGCTGCAAGCCAAACATGTGTGAACATGTTGGATAGAAATTGCCCGCAAGAACAATGTTGTAGAAGACTGTAGACTGCTTTTGTATGTGTTCCCCTGCTGTGTTCCTCATATTCACGACGATACTTTTAAATCCTTAACAGCTACTAGATAAAATGTTAAATGCAGCAAGCTGAGATCAAGCCATTTCCAATGTAAAGTAACACCTACTAATAGCTAAAAAAGCTTGCAGTCACTAAAGTAAGGTTTGGAGCACCCGATATCACAACAAAAGTGGATAGGTTAGGGCTTTGATAGYGTACTAAGATTAGGAATCTAAACTATTACACATAAAAGTTATAAATAGTTGTGCTGATAAGGAAGTATTAGTCATATGAGCAGTACAGAGTTGCTTGATCCAACAGCAGAGACATAAAGTTGCAATCAGAATTTTGTTTAGATGATATATTAAAATGATAAAACCTCGTCACTATAACTGAATTTAAAATGAAAGCTCAATTAAAATATTATACATTCTTCATAACTTTAATCGAAATAAACTGGGTATGTTCTCAATTTTAGAAATTATCTATGTGGATGTGTGGCAAATACAGTTTTACTCTGCATATATGTCTCTGTAAATTCAACAATAATATTTCCAAAGCTAACATATACGTTGATAAATCAATTATCACTTGCTGCCGTTTGCTACCGTTGGTATTTTCATTTTTTTTTTTTTTTTTTTAAGTTCAGTGATGCCCTCTTAAAGAAGTGACGAAAACTCTTACCATTGAAGTTTGAAGTAAAACAGAAGACATCATATCTGCTATTATCCTTATCCCAGAAACCGTAGTTCCGGACCCCTGGCACGGTGTTCCTGCCACCGCAGGGCTCGCGGGGCTTGGTGATGGGGTACTGCACGGAGCCATCGCTGAGCCAGCCCGCRTTGCACCAGTCCAGCCCACCTCGCCAGGCATCGTAGAGCTGGTCAAAGGCAGCGATGACGGAGTCCTGGTCCYGGCACGCCTGCTGGGCCTCATGGAAGTTCAGGTTGTACCGCCCCAGACGCGGGGAGTACGGGAACACCACACCTGCAGGGCAGAGAGAGGGCGCGTTATGGGGGTCCTAGGCACAGGAGAGGGCATCACTTATAGGCCAAAAGCCCTATTCCGCAGCAGGGTATGGTGCTGCTTGATTTCTGGGAAGAAATGCTCCTTTCAATATCAAGCCTTTTGCTGGAGAGGGGGATCTGGGTGCCTCCTGGCTCATACAGGGGCTCCTTGCCCCACAGTGTCATCCTGTGCCCCGCTCATGCTCTAACCCTCTGAGTGTGCTTGGAGGTGAGTCGCACTGGTGGAAGGTGTGCAGCTAAATGTTTTTCATCAGAAAATATCTATTTATTGACTAAATTTCTCATTTTAGCTGAAAAAAGTTAGGTAGAAAAACGCTATTTTTTTTTTTCCAGGATGCAATTAGGAGATTTTCTGGTACTCGTTTTGAAAGAAGTAGTATAGAGGATGGTTCTATAGAGTAGTATAAGGTTCTTTTTTCAGATGCAGGCATCAAAATGAAATGTATTGCTTGACATAAAAGTGTTATTTTCATGGAGTCTTGCAAGTCCCTGAATTTTTCATGATCTTTTGCTCCTGATTCAAAATAGTTTTCTTCTCTCCTTCCCCATCTCCTTAAAAAAACACCAGGTTATCATAGGAATTTCGTGTCTGATTAACAACAGTGCAAGGCTAGACTGGTAGGAGGCAAAATTATAGTCCTGAGGTATGAAAGCTGGAAACGTGCATGGAAATCAAATCAGTGAAGATGTCTGTGCCTTTAGCAAAGGAGACTTTTTGGACACTCCTCTGTGACCATGTGGTAGTTCATCACCACAGTCCCTCAGAGTTGAAGGGGAGCTCCTTGTGGAGTGTACCAGCAAGTATGGGCCCTTCATCAGATGATGGTTTTCCCCAATCCCAGCCAGTGAACAAAGTGGTACATGGGATGCAGCAAAGCCAGGTARTCCTGGGAGGAAGTAGCATGAGATGCAGTCTCTCCTGCCACCGCTATGGGTGTCAAGAGCATCACTGGAGTAAAAGAAGAGCATGTGCTGGAGAGTCTGGGGAACTAGTGAGCACTGGTGTGGAGGCACAGATTTGCTGATTCTTCCTTGCACCCCATGAACGATATGGGCCAGCATTGCGTGGCCCACAGGTGGATCTGTTCCCAGTTAGCTGTGAGCTGTTGTGGAAGGCATGGCAGAGACCTTCCTGTGTTGGAGAGCACCCAAGCAGGGATGGGAAATACGAGGATGCCCCAGAGTTGTTTCAATACTTGCATTTAATTAACATTTTTTTTTTCTAATGGAGTTCTTACAGATTTGTCAACTATATATTTTGTTTGTTTTATTTATAAAAAAAATCTGTAATTAAAATGACTTCTTGAAGCTGGAAAGATACTTCAGAAAATGTTGAAGARCCACCTCTCCATGTGTGTCTGACAAAAGGCAGTTCAGAGAAAACAGAGATTTTAAACAAAAGTTTGGATCAGAACATCCCAAGCTCTAGCAAGGTTTAGAAACTCAACCCTGCTCTAAATTTTACTGTTGGCTTTAGCCCAATCTTTATAATAATCTGAAAAAAATATAGCATCAGGGAAGATCCAGCTCAGAATCTTTATTCTCAAACATTTCGGTAAAACTAAGAGGTGTAGGACAGAGAAAGACTGAAGACAAGACAATGTATTAGGACATGAGTCAAGAGCTTTAAATTGGTAAAGGCATCTATCTGTCTTTTTGCTGTTTCCCTTTTGGTGAAAGTTCCTTGTCTCCAAGGCAATGTAGCATAGGACAGAGAAATTACRTTATGGTCATGCTTGACTGTCACCATGCAATGAAGTCATTCTTCTTTTGAACATTCAAATCCACTCTTGTCTATTCTACCAGTATCTTAATATCTCCTTTCTTTCCCTTCTCTTCCTCATCCATCTATTGTTCTGGTAGTGTTATTTTTGTTAAATAATATCTTTGCTATTACTAAGCCCAAGTGACTTGGGCCAAGAAAATAAATCATGCAAGCGTAAACTTGGCAGGATAATAATAAACACAATTTTGTTCTCCTTCAGTAATTAACTAGAAAATCTGACTTTCTTTCCTTTTATAAATCCTTCGCAAAAAGCCTTTTCAGTTATTAGCTATTCTGCTCTATAAAAGATGAATGATATGCAACACATTGTGYGCTGTTAACTACAGCTTCATAAACAAGCAGCCATAAATGTTTTATGTTCATTCTGGATCTCTCTCTTTTTTTTTTCTCAGTCATTTGTTCTCCCTCAGTGTTAACGGTTAGAAATGGCTACAGTAAAAATGTAACAAGGGCCAGAGGCTTTATTAGAAATCTAATGCTTTATTATTTTTCCAGAGCTATASCTCCCTAGACTCCTAGTCCAATACATGTTTGATCTGCATATACATGTCAAAAAACTCTAAAATCTTGAGAAAGATACTTACTAATTAAGGTCTAAATTCATATACTTCTAAAGATTGAGCAGCAATTCAACAGAAATTATTAAAACAGATTTGATTTCTTATGATTTAATAATCACTTTTTTTTAGATGGTTAAATATGAATATAATTGAATATATATTTCTTATAAATCTACTTAGTTTTGACAGTTTGGGCCACAACATTTTAATAACATAAATATACACAGAACTGCAATATTAGCTTTGGACTATATTTGGATAGACAGCCTAGAAGATCKTTWTTTTTTTTTTTTTTTTGAGTTCATCTGTAGTACAAGTCTGCAACTGATTAGCATTAATTTCACCCTGCAGATACAGATGGGGTAGCCATTGGTGATTTTATATAGCAAAATTGACCTCATGCAGTTTTTTTTTGTGACTTTGTGTTATCTTGCATCTTCTCTTGTTACTGGTTGTTTCTTTCTCATTTCTCTATCAAGCCCAGCCCTGAATTGACAGATAGATCTATACTATGCATCTTCTTTTGGCTACACTTAGCAGTTTTGAACTTTAGTTAACTGAGCAGCAACATCTTCAGTCTTGGCTCTTAAAACCCATCAAAAGATAATATACACCATCTGGACCTGAGTGGACAAAGCTGTCTGGGCGCTTGTTCTCTTTCCAAAACAGAATCTAAACACCTGACTCCAATCCTGTCTTTATTCCAAGACAAAACACCCACTTCAAAATGTTAACAAATTCAACTTGGGAAATGAAGGAAGACGAAAAGCTTCCAACCTCAAAGGGCTGCTATTGCTGTGATTTTCAATTACATTTGAATACTTATYTTACTGGTAATAAGAAAGTCTCCTGAAAGACTTCTGTTGGAAAAAGATGGTATTTTTCTTACATTTATTGGTTTTAGTTGTTTGATTATGGCCTGCTCTCTGGTTCAAGCTTAACAAAAACTCAACATTCTTCCTCTCTATTTTCTGTTACCCTTCCAGGAGTGACCTGTCAGCAGTGGTATTACCTGAGGGCAGTCCAGTGCATCCACTGACCTGCTGGAATGTGGTTCTTTGCAGACAGTGAGTTGGTGGACCCCTGTTTAAAATGAGGGAATAGTGGTTCTCACCCTGTTAGCTTACAGGAACTTTGGCCTGAAGAGCCTCAACTTGATCTTAGTGATTCAGTTTCTTGCTTCAAGCAATCAGAGACTGAGTAAGGAACATTAACTACAACTTAGATTTAGGAGGAAGCTTCTCTCTCAGACAAWCAGTTCTCTGAATTACTCCTGCTAATAACTCTGCTTTTGCCTTCCTCCAAAGTACGAAAGAAGAAACTGAAATACATTAATTTGGTGGTGAAATAATCTGCTAGTGAGAGAATCTGATGAGACTTACTCTATGTGCCTGTTATACTGCAGTCACTGTCCTGCAAAATGTTGCTGTACTGAAAATCAGAAATAAGTACTCAAAGTATAACACATACCTCTCGTGTTCCTATATTTCTATGGATGCCTTATTTTCAATGCCTTACTTTCCATCCCTTATGTTATGTCCTCTCCTATTTCTATGAATGCCTTACTGTAAAACCCACTAATGTACAATTCTGCTTCTGTTGAGGTGGCTTTCAATTGCATTTTTTGAAGGGGAACCCAGTAGGAGGGAGAGAAGGGACAAGTAAGCTGGCTCTTTTGTAAAACAAGCCATCGCTTCTGTGCAGAAGGATTTAATACTACTTTTTTATCCTATCTGGGAAAACATATTTTTTCTCTCTTGGTCTTGAKAGGGAGAATTCTGACCAAGTCAATGAGAATTAGATGCCTAGCTATATCAGAAAATAAGTGGAAAATAGTCTTTAAAATAAGTACATGAAGGGAGAAGGAAGGGAGAATGTAGGGAGGAAGGGGCCAAGCTCTTCTCATTGGTGGCCAGTGACAGGACAAGGGGAAATGGGTATAAGTTGAAACACAGGCAGTTCYATCTCCATGTGAGGAGGAACTTCTTTGCTGTGAGGGTGCCACAGCCCTGGATCAGGCTGCCCRGGGAGGCTGTGGAGYCTCCTTCTCTAGAGGTCTTCCAAACCCACCTGGACGCCACCCACATGCTCTAGGTGTCCCTGCTTGAGCAGGGAGGTTGGACTAGATGATCTCCAGAGGTYCCTTCCAACCTTGAACATTCTGTGATTCTGTGAAAATAGAGTTCAACCTTGCTGACTTAAGGGATGGAAAAGATATGATATTGGCATGTCTTTGTATGCTATTTGTACTGCACTTGTGTATAAGTAGTCATTGAAACTAGAGTTCTTGGCAAGTGCCTAGTTACTAGAGACACATTCTCAGTGCAAGGAAGCGTAATGGTTCTCCAAGGGGAAACGATGAGGAAAGGACCTAGAAAGCTCAACTCCTGTAACAGTTTTAGAAAGCTCATCTCCTATAAGAATTTATAGTTGTCTATTAAGGCAGCACTGTATGCAATTAGCAGTTTTAAGACTATTTACAGATACAACCAAATAAAGCAAATTTGTTAACTCATACGGAAAAAAAAAAAAAAACCCTCTTTACAGCCAGAGTAAAGAAATGGCTTCCTTCAGCTCTAGTCTAAACAAAAAGTAATTTATTTTGTAGCCAGT